GATGATTAGTTAGCAGGCTGGAGAAGCCAGCAAGGATGGTGGTGTGGATCAGGTTGGGTGATAGAAATGGGGCTAGGACGTTGAGGAGGGCAAGTCATAGGACTTGGGGTTTCTTGGTTAGCCTCGGCATCAGAGGCAACCCATAAAGCCTAATAGGAGGCTGGATGTAGTAGCTCAAGCTACTACAGGTGCCGCCCCCAGTTATTTTTTTGTTGTTGTTGCAGTTCTGCTGGGCCAGATTTGAACCCACCACCCTTGGTATATGCAGCTGGCACCCTACTCACTGAGCCACAGGCACCGCCCAAACTTTTCTTTTTTTGAGACAGAGCCTCAAGCTTTCCCCCTGGGTAGAGTGCCCTGGCATCACAGCTCACAGCAACCTCCAACTCCTGGGCTCAAGCGAGTCTACTGTCTCAGCTTCCCAAGTAGCTGGGACTACAGGCACTCACCATAATGCCTGGCTATTTTTTTTTTGGTTGCAGCCATCATTGTTGTTTGGCTGGCCCGGGCTTCGAACCCGCCACCTTAGGTGTATGTGGCTGATGCCCTAGCCACCTGAGCCACAGGCGCAGAGCCCCAAACTTTATTTTTTTTGAGACAGAGCCTCAAGCTGTCACCTTGGGTAGAGTGCTGTCGCATCACAGCTTACAGCAACATCAAACTCTTGGGCTCAAGCAATTCTCTTGCTTCAGCCTCCCAAGTAGCTGGGAACTATGGGTGACCAGCCCTTTGTTCACAACTTAAGCCAAGAAAATTCTAGGTGAGAACTTCCCAGATATATTGGGCAAGTGGGAGTAGAATTTCAAATGACCAAATTTAGGCTGTTACTGGATGTCTTGTTCTTTCCCACTAAAGAGAAGCTCAGAAATAAGGGCTTAAGGCAGTGCCCATAGCTCAGTGGGTAGGGCGCTGGCCACATACACTGAGGCTGGTGGGTTTGTAACCCAGCCTGGGCCAGCTAAAACAACAATGACAACTACAACCAAGAAGTAGCCGGGCGTTGTGGCAGGTACCTGTAGTCCCAGCTACTCTGGAGGCTGAAGCAAGAGAATCACTTAAGTCCAAGAGTTTGAGGTTGGTTTGAGCTGTGACTGTACTCTCCTGAGGGTGACATAGTGAGGTTGGTTTGAGCTGTGACTGTACTCTCCTGAGGGTGACATAGTGAGACTGAGAAAGGAAGGAAGGAGGGAGGGAAGGAAGGGAAGAAAGGGAGGAAGTGAGGGAGGGACGGAGGGAGGTTGGGTGCAGTGGCTCATGCCTATAGTCCCAGCACTCTGGGAGGCTGAGGTGGATGGATTGTTTAAGCTCACGAGTTCAAGACCAGCCTGAGCAAAATCAAGACACCCACCCACGGGTCTTTACTAAAAATAGAAAAACTGAAGCAAGAGGATCACTTGAGCCCAAGAGTTGGAGGCTGTTGTGAACTATGATGCCACGGCACTCTACCCAGGGCAACAGCTTGAGACTCTGCCCCCCCCAAAAAAAAACAAAGAGAGAGAAGAGAGAAAACAAATATAGGCTCAAGGATGCCCCTGAAATGGTCTTGAGCCAGCTCCCAAGTGAAAGGGTCAGCTGCCCAGGCTTCTATGGCCCTCCCAAGTCAGTAAATTCCAGGGCAATGTCTGCTTCTTACCTGCAGGTGGCAGCATCATAATTTACAGAAAAAAACAACCCTTTCTGAAGATTCAAAAGAAGAGCAAATCCCAACGGAAGAGAAGCTTTTTAGCAATTACTTTGTGCATTCTGAAGTGACTGATGTGGCTAGTTGGCAACTAGCAAGTTTTGGCACAATGGAAACAGGTTTTTATACCAGGATATGACTTTTTTTTTAGATAGAGCCTCATTTTGTCACCCAGGCTTGAGAGCCCTGGCTTCAGCCTAGCTCACAGCAACCTCAAACTCCTGGGTTCATATAATCCTCCTGCATCAGCCTCCCAAGTAGCTGGGACTACAGGCACCCACCACAACACTCAGCTAGTTTTTCTATTTTTAGTAGAGACAAGGTCTCACTGTTGCTCAGGCTGATCTCAAACTCCTGAACTTGTGTGATCCTCCTGCCTGGGCCTCCTAGAGTACCAGGTTTACACTAGGGTGTGACTTTTACTCCAGAACTGGCCCCTTATTCCAGTTTCTTGCCACTTAATGTTTCTTAACATTAGCCACACACATATCCAAAATACTATTACCTCTAGTGTGTTTTTTTCTCCCCATGGAATAATTGCAGGCAATGTTCTCTCTCAAGTTTCTGAGTATGTGTCCATAGAACAAAAAAAAATGTATCAAAAAGACAAAGTAAGAAATGTTCCCTTTAGGGCTCAGAGTCCATAGTTCAATGATTAGGGTGCCAGTCACATACACCAAAGCTGGCAGGTTCGAGCCCAGCCTGGGCCTGCTAAACAACAATGACAATTCCAACCAAAAAATAGCTGGGCATTGTGGCAGGAGCCTGTAGCACCAGCTACTTGGGAGGCTGAGGCAAGAGAATTGCTTAAGCCCAAGAGTTTGAGGTTGCTGTGAGCTGTGACGCTATAGTATTCTACTGAGGGCAACATAGTGAGACTTTGTCTCAAAAAAAAAAAAAAGAAAGAAATGTTCCCTTTTTTAAAAAGTCACCCACAACTAGCTCAGCGCCTGTAGCTCAAGTGGCTAAGGCGCCAGCCACATACACCAAAGCTGGCAGGTTCGAATCCAACCCAGGCCTGCCAAACAGCAATAACAACTACAATTAAAAAAAAAAAAATTAGCCAGGTGTTATGGTGGGCGCCTGTAGTTCCAGCTACTTGAGAGGCTGAGGCAAGTGAATCGCTTAAACCCAGGAGTTGGAGGTTGCTGTGAGCTGTGATGCCACAACACTACCCAGGGTGACAGCTTGAAGCTGTGTCTACAAAAAAAAAATGTCACCCAGAGCCATACTATTTCTTTTCTTTTTCTTTTTTTCTGAGACAGAGCCTCAAGCTGTCCACCTGGGTAGAGTGCTATGGCATCACAGCTCACAGCAGCCTCCAGCTCTTGGGCTTAGGTGATTCTCTTGCCTCAGCCTCCAAGTAGCTGGGACTACAGGCACCCGCCACAATACCCGGCTACTTTTTAGAGCCACTGTGCCCAGTCAACATGATTGTTTTTACTTTTAAGTGTTCCCTTTCAAATCTGGTCGATATTCATATACTTTTACAAACACATACTCAAGAGTGTTATATCAAAACTGCATTTTTTTTTTGAGACAATTCAAGTTGTCACCCTGGGTAGAGTGTCATGGTGTCACAGCTCACAGCAACCTCCAACTCCTGGGCTTAAGCAATTGTCTTGCCTCAGCCTCCCAAGTAGCTGGGACTACAGATGCCTGCCACAACGCCTGGCTATTTTTTTTTCTTTTGAGACAGAGTCTTAAGCTGTAAAAGGAAGTGTATAACTTTTTCCCCTTATTGTCTTCAGCTTCTACTCTATTCTGAGATCTTACCCACTTATTTAGCTTTATATTAACATAGCAAAACAAAGTAGCCACACTTTTATCTCTGGTCAAACCCTCTGCCCCCCCCCCCCCGTTATTTATTCAGACATCCATTTATTCATTTCATACACTATTCTCAGTTCTGGAAATACAAATGTGAAAAGATGTGGTCCTGTCTGACCAATTGGGAAGTGGGATTGGGGCAGGGGAGGAAAGTGATGGAATGATAATGATGCAATGAGATTGGAGGTATGATGGGAATTTTGAAGACGTCCTAAAGCTGACTCAGGGACCTAGAGAAAAGGGAGGCAACTGAGCAGAGGAAATTGGGTGTGCAAAGATACAGACACTCAAAAGATCATGGCACCTTCTGGAAACCACAGTGGCTTAGTATTGATAGAGTATGTGTTGGATGGGGACTGAAAGGGCGGGGCTGGCTGGCAAGGCCAGATCTTTAAAGGCCTTGCAAAGGACTTGAGAAATTACTGCATGATAAATATCTTTGTTCCAAATGATTTTCTGCTCTGTAGCCAGAGTGATAAAGTATTTTGAAGATGAAAATCTGACCCTGGCTCATCCCTGTTTCAGTATCCCATAGAATCGAATCCCAAGTCTTTTTTTTTTTTTTTAAGAGACACTCTCACTTTCTTGCCCTCAGTAGAGTGCTATGGTGTCACAGCTCACAGCAACCTCCAACTCCTGGGCTCAGGCGAGTCTCCTGCCTCAGCCTCCCAAGTAGCTGGGACCACAGGCGCCCGCCACAACGCCCGGCTATCTTTTTTTTGGTTGCAGCCATTATAATTGTTGTTTGGCGGGCCCGGGCTGGATTGGAACCCGCCACCTTAGATGTATGTGGCTGGCGCCTTAGCCACTTGAGCCACAGGCACTGAGCCTATCCTCTGGCTTTCGTACACACTATGCTCTCTTCTCCTCTCAGGCTAACCAGGGTCTCAGCTTAAACCTCACTTCCTGCACTTTCCCTGATCCTGGTGAGGTCCCCTGTCTTATGCTCCCATAACCATCAGTGCCACCCTTGTCATATTCTCCTTTGAGGTTTTTTTTTTTGTAGTTTTTGGCAGGGCCTGGGTTTGGACTCACCACCTCTGGCATATGGGGCCAGGGCCCCACTCCTTGAGTCACAGGTGCTGTCCCTCCTGTCATATTCTCAAACATGTGTCTTCCCCATCAGCCTACAAACTCAGTGAAGGGTCACCCTGCTCTTCACAGAGTAGATGCTTGCAGAATGTTGGTGAATGAATGAATGAATGCATTGAGGTTCTCAACAGCATACTGGATATTTCTACCCACATGTCTTCTGCAATGTTGAACTCCATATTTCCCAAATTGGGTCACCATTGTGCTGGGGCTCAGAGAATGATGTCCCAAAGTATGGTGCTTTGGCATTCTGAGCACTTTTGAATTAAAGGAAATTGGAAGGTCTTAGAAGCTACCTCAGAACCAAGAACTTCCTAACCTTCTCTTGTTTCCCCACCACAAACACAGGAGCTTTCTGATTGAGAAAATGTCTTCCAAAAGAAATGCAACTGTGCACTTGCTTTGGCAGCACATATGCTAAAGTTGGAACCATACAGAAAAGATTAGCATAACGCCTGTGCAAGGATGACATGCAAATTCGTGAAGAGCTTCAAAAAGAAAAAAAATCCAGCCAGATGCTGTGGCTCAGGTTGTATGTAATCCTAGCACTTTGGGGATGCTGAGATGGGTAGATTGCTTGAGTTCAGGAGTTCAAGACCAAACTAAGCCAGAGTGAGACCCCATCTCTAAAAAATAGCCCAGGAGCTTGAGTTGCTGTGAGCTATGATCCCCTAGTACTCTACTGAAGGCAATAAAGTGAGATGCCATCTTGGGAAAAAAAAAAAAAAGGTGGCGCCCGAAGCTCAGTGAGTAGGATGCTGGCCACATACACCAAGGCTGGCAGGTTCAAGCCAGGCCTGGGCCTGCTAAACCATGACAACTGCAACAACAACAAAAATAGCTGAGCATCGTGATGAATGCCTGTAGTCTCAGCTGCTCAGGAGGCTGAGGCAAAAGAATCAGTTCAGCCCAAGAGTTTGAGCTTGCTGTGAGCTGCGATGATATAGCACTCTACCAAGGGCAACAAAGTAAGACTCTGTCAAGAAGAAAGAAAAAAAGAGAGAGAGAGAGAAAGAAAGGAAAGGAAAGGAAAGAAAGGCAGGCAGGCAGGCAGGCAATTGTCTTAAAACTTCCTCCTGGCTCAGCGCCTATAGCTCAACCGGCTAAGGCGCCAGCCAC